GTAAAATAGGTAAAATCTAACTTTCTCATGAGTCCTTTTTTAGCCAAGATAGATTGTATGAGATAGAATTTAAAACCATGGTGAAGGTTTAAATTTTTAAAAATTTATTAAAGTAGGGCTGGGGATTTAGCTCAGTGGCACTGTGCCTGCCTTGCAAGCAAAGGGTCCTGAGTTCAATGCCCAGTACCAAAAAATCAAAATTAAAAATTTAAAAATTGTTAAAGTAAAAGATACATTGCCATTGATCTCCCTCAGAATATGTTCTTTTGCTTCAAACACAATTACCCCACCATTCTTGCCACTTTCTGAAGCAGTTCTGGAAGTCCTCTTTGGTGACCATCTTTAATTGTGATGTTGTAGCTGCCTGGATCTCCTGAGTATATTCAAAATGTTTACCTTTCATGATCATTTTGACTTTTGCGAAGAGCCAAATATCCCATACAGCCAGATTCTGTGAATAAGATGAATAATGACACACTGTAATGTTTTTAAGAGCTTGTTTTTCTATTGCATGACACTCGGCAGCAACATTCACCATATTTTTATTATAACTTGTAAAGATACTCAGGAAAGAGGACTTCCAGGAGTGCTTCAGAGAGTGGCATGAATGATGGGATAAATGTATTTGAATCAAGAGGGAGTATGTTGAGGGAAATTAATGGCAGTGTGCCTTTTACTGTAATAAATTATTACATTTCCATATTCACCATGTATTTAAATGCCTTGTATAATTCTATGGTGACACTGGAGCCTTAAACTCTACTAATAGTTTGACAAATTAAGACTCGTTTATTTCCCATATTTTTGCCTGAATAGGATGCCCTACAAGTAATGCCTTAGAGACTCAAACTATTTCTAGATTCTTAGCTCCAACAGGTAATATGTTATAGAGCAGGAAAGAGAACTAGAGGATCGTGTGGGGTGTACTTATAGAACGGTTATGGAAATGGCTTGATTACTTTTGCTTGTTTCAATAGTCACAATTCAAGCAAGTGACCCCCAACCTAAGTAAAAAGAAGGCTAGGGGAAATAGGGTCTTCCAGAGTTCCCAAGAAGAAATGCTATAGTAAAAACATGGCATAATTTTTGCCATGGTGCTCACATCAGGTCATTATTATTTATAATTATTACTGGTATTTTAATGGTTGAGAGAAAGAAGACTTAGAGATATTTGATTACTTCTTTAAGATTATACAACTTATAAGGGGCAGATTTTGAATGAGGAAGCACTCTTATGTACTCCAGGGCACTCTGCCTTTGTTCTGAGTTTTTTAATATATTTATCCTTTTCAAGATTGTTTTTTCTACACAGACAGAGGTTACTCTATTTACACCAGCAAAAATGGATGAGGGACTGGAAAACATGCAGTTGAGATGTAGAC